TATTGCAAGTGCCCTTGCGCATCGACGATCTCTGTTACTATCACCCGAGAAATTGAGGCCAGGTGCAACGAAACCTAATCACTTCAAGGAGTTTTACGAAAAGGGGCACCTCGAAAACTGGTTAGGTATGTGAAACTTGCTTCCAAAATCAGGTTCTACCGTTATGCTGACACCTTCATAGCGGGCCAACGCGTCCTAGGACCTTCGGGTCTGTCTACAAGGCCAACGGAGTGGCAGCCTCACCATTCCTCCCCGGCATCAGAGAAAGTCACTCACCCTATCGTGGTGCTTGACGGGAAACACTACTTTAGACGGCCTGAATGCCGTGTGCCCAGTGCGGTAGAAGCGCTCCACCAATCCGCAGCAGCAGCAGGGCCTTCCGTTCACGGCAACAGCGAGACAGCCTTGATCGAACAAAAGCAGGTTAACGACACTACCGCTCACAGTGGTCTCCGGGTAAAAGCTCAGGCCAGAAGTAAATCTACAGAGCCTTTCCCTTCAGTCAGAACACCATCCCCCCACACTGATGGTAAGGGAAATGATGAGGAAGCCGCTTCCTCTTCCAACGAACACCACGAACAGGAGGAGCAGGAGGACTTTGATGCAATGACCCCCACAAAAGTCAAAAGACATGGCCGCAAAAATCCCCGGACCACACGAGGAGCTCGAAAATCCACAGTGACAACATCATTACCAGGCTCAGCAGTCATGCGTAACTCAAGTCTTGCTAGTCCTACAAAAGATGTTGCAAATGCCACAGAAAGTTCTAACCAGAGGCCTCCGACCGATAGCCAGAAGGCTGATTAGCAACTAGCCCAGGCTACTTCGAGTCGTTCAAAGGACCATATCACTGGAAACATCATCAGAGATGCAGAGTTGCGGTTGAGCACCAATGACAGACCCAAGAACCAGCGACCAAACCGAGCTTTTGATGAGCCAGTGGCTCACGGTCAGAAAGAAATGAAGTATCCTGGGACAATGAGTACGTTCAATCAGACGCAAACACCTGAACTAGGCTTTCAAAACAGCGCGATGAGTACTGAACCCCCTGAAGGTAAGAGACTTTCTGGGCAATTCGCGATGCACACCCCTCCCGTGGCCCCCTTTTACTCAGCAGGAACCTTTAGCCCTGCCACTCAAGGAAACTATTCTTTACTTCCCCAACAGAATTTTCCCATGCAGAATGGACTTGACCATGGATTTCCACTTGTTCAACAGTCACAGCCGCCTCAGAGGGGTTCATTGACTGGTCGTGGTAGAAATACCAGCAACTCTTCTCGGAATGATCGTTTCGATTCGAACGATGGCAGATGGCCCTATCAAAACCATGAGAATAACAACGGCGGGAATGCTGGATTGAGTCGCGGAGGTTTCCATCGCGGAGGGGCTCGTAAAAACCGCCGCGGTGGCCACAACCAGCGAAATGCAACCGCGCCTGTTGCGCAACCTCATACCGGCCCTGATTTCAACCAGAAGAGGCGCGAGGGGGCACCATGGAAGGATTCATGGCGTCGGGATCCAGTTACTTGCCAGAACGTTCAGGATGGTTTGTCGATCAAAGATTATGTACCTTGCTCTTGCTCGATCTGCGATTCTCGTGACCGCTCTGTATACATCATTGTCCAAGGCTACCAAGGATTTACTGGGCTAGACATACTCGCACGGCTCAAGTTTGGCCTGGCTGAGAGATATGGACATGTAGAAGAGGTGTTCCCGATCGCCTCGAAAGAACCAGGACGTTTTATTGCCCGGTAAGTCATGACTCGTTGTGGATTCATGTTGAAATCAATGACCAACTAACAAGAATTAGGTTTGTAAACTCCTCGTCAGTTGGTGAAGCACTGACTATTGGCGGCGGCAACATGCCTGAGCAAGGCATATCTGTTACATTCTCCCCTGCGTTGCGATCAAAATGGACACTCTTGGAGCAAGCACCTACTCGGCCACTCCCAGGTCGAGTTTCTGGTCAGAACTCCGCCGCTCCTCCATTCTCTCCTTATCCTTTCGGCCTATCGATGCCAGGCAATGCGCCGAGTACTGTCGCAGTCCCTCACATGATGCCAGGCATCGTTCATCCGGCTGTAGTCAACCCTGGGCAAGCACATAACAGTCATTTCTGGCAACCCAATGGAGGGCAACGTTCTTTGTCTGGACTTGTACAACCTCCAGCCCCTGGTATTCCATCTACAACTGTGCAGTCCGGACCCGGCATACAGGCACTCCTCCCTGGACAGCCGGCTCTTGATCCAAGGCAAATTGCCCCTCCTCCCATCCAGCCGGCGCAGGAAACCGCATCCTCTCGTGAGGTATTGCAGACTAAGCCTCCATCTGAAGAAGCTTTGGATGAAATCCATCACCTTGATCAAGATGATCCGGGTAGTCCGCGAAGTGACACAAGCAAGTATACTGGGATCAAAGCCCGTGTTTCCTTGCCCAGCACCCCTTCGAAAGCTTCCCTTGCCTCCCAAGGAACCCCAACGAAACCAAATGACAAAGCAGAAGGACTTACGGGTATTGATACGGCAGCACATCGCCTGAATGAGATGCCCATTAAGGCGCTTGAAAGCCAGGCAGATACAAAGGTGACATCTGGTCATCAAGCTGAACTACTGTCTGAACCAACTAGTAGCAAGAGCAGTCACAGTGGTGTCCCAAGCTTCTTTTCTGAGAATGAGAAAAAAGAGAGAGAACGAGCGTGGGCTAAAATTCCTATGCCTCTGACTCTCCGTGGGCCTCGCTCAGTTACCCCAATGAACCCGGTCAGCATCGCCACCGAGTGTGGCAGCAACTCTGAAGTTGGAAAGATTGACAATCGCGAACGTAATGCTACACAGATGGAGTTGCCAATCTCAGAGCAGAATGCAACCTCTGCTCCAGGTACCAGCGATGTTTACGAGCCATCTATGTCCGAGAACCCCGAGTCGAGGTTTCCGTTGCCGCAGGCGCCAAAAGGCTCTTCTACTGCCCATCCCACCAGGAAAACAAGAGAAGTTGCTACTGAGCCGCAGGGAACTACTATAGGTGAAGCACAGCCATCTGAGATGCCTGCAACCTCTCCCGTGACTGAAAATGTCATATCCAAGGTTGGGCAATCGTTTGAGCAAGAACATACTTCAGACACGCTCCCAAGAGGCAAAGGAAAGAACGCGAAGAAGGCCAAGAAAAAGAAAGCGAAGAACATGGCACCCACGAGCAACGAGTCCAATCACGCCTTTCAACAAAACGAGCCGCCGTCTTCTCCTCGATCCAGCTACATGGCACCTCAGCACATGCATGTTAGCAGTAGAGGGCTGGGGTCTAATACACACCATGGAGGCCATATCGGAAGTCAGGAACCGGGTTCATCCTCGCCTATCAAGCGACACCACGATGAACCTGAGCAGCCTTCTGTATCTGGATCTGCTAAGCGAAGCAAGAAGCATGGGAATAAGCACGAAATGGCTCAACACCAGCACCAGCCTCAGCCTCAACCCCAACCTCCATTTGACGAATCAGATTCCCCTGATGAGGACGAACGCGGTCGTCGGGGATTCAGAATGGGTAGAGGAGGTTCACTTCGCTTTGGCAAGCAACGTCGACCTCGTCCTATGATTCCTAGCTCAATGCTCGCAGGAGAACGATTCGATGCTCAAGCGCCACCTCCTTCGACCAATTTTGCTTTCCAATGCCAGAGCCTCCCCGAATCTGATGACTCGCCGGACTTGCGCGATCATGGAAATGGCGCAAGGAGCCGCCTCAATCCCGAGGCCCGAGAGTTTGTATCTCCATCGAGAACAGCGTCTCTTAGTAAAGGACCAGTTGCCAATCTGAGAGCTGGTGAAGCACCAAGCAGTGGCACAGTGAATGAATCGGCTGTCAAACATGTCCAAACAGATGAAATAATCCGAGAGGTCCCCAAGGCCGCGGACGATGATACATGCGAGACAACTCTTCAGGATGAGAAGGGCCCATCCGCCGTCACTAGCCAGACCCCTAAACGTCGTCGAGGCATCTCAGAAGCGGTCCAAAAAGGAACTCCTAGAAAGGAAAAGGGGCCTGCTCATCAAGGAGAGGGAAAGACTCCGGCAAAAAGTTCGAAACGAGGCAAAGGCAAGGAGAGGGCAGTGACGGTGAGTGCCAAGGCTGACAAGGCCGAGGCAAAGGTCGAGAAAGTTCAAGAGATGCCTCAAACCCCAGAGAATCAAGGAGGAAAAGTCAAGAAGCCTGGCCTGATCGACGATGACTGGCCCTCACTTCCAGCTTCTCGGGAACGGGCACAATCCAAGCCACAGACACCCTTGATTTGGGGTGGAAAGACAAAATCTACCCAAGACGATGGTGGGCTCGGACAAGGATCTCCTGTCACCAAGAACTAGACGGTGATGTGACTGAGACATAGCAGGAAGAACAGGGAGGACCGAGCAGACATGAATCGAGAAATGGTCAGTGAATTTATTTCGGTCGGCACCTTTCGCTCTACTTGGCATCAAATTAGTAGAAAGGGGAGGGGGGGTGAATAGGGGACAGGGTAGTGGATTTCAAGGGCTTGCATTGGGCATGGACAAGTTGGATTGTCCATTGACATAGTTTGCGATATCTGGTTTGTTGTTGGGCACGTCACAATGGTCTCAGGTCAGGGATTAGAAAAAAAGTGCGATTTATGCCAGGTGTAATATAGTACCGTGAGTACAGAGAGAGACATGGTGGTGCGTTATGTATGTTGATAATGATGAGGTGCTGCTACATTAATATAGCAAGCCCGGAAGCCTATATGTATCTCGATGTGTTAACAAATGAGGAACAATATGACTCCAGTGGCGAGCGACTTGGCCATGAAGCAGCTACGAGGAGGTCGATGTTCAAGATGATGGACAGGCTTCGTAGTAGTACAATGCTCTCTTGTCGCATGCTGATTTGACCCTTATGTACATTTCATCGTGGTGATGCCCGAGCTCGAGGTCTCTCCCTATAACTTCTCTTTGTTTTGGCAAATGTTGATAAAGCGATCGATACTCATGATTCTATTGATCAGCCTTGACCAAGCCAGTGACGGTCTCCTCAATCTCCTTGTCGGAGAGACCCTCGAGGATCTGTGACTTCTCGACACCTCGGTCTGATTTGATCATGTCAGTACTGCCGTGATTTGGATGATATCGCTCTAAGATGTCCGAGGGTTTCCAGCGATATAGAATACGAACCATATCGGGCAAAGACCTTGGGCTGGGTGCCAGCGGCCTCTCGGATCAGGATGGGAATGTTGGGGTTGTTGCGCTTCATGGTAGGGTACGATCGGGTGATGAATGATCTATATCGGCGCAGGAAACAATCAGCCCAAAGATCCCCCAGGTTCTACTGTCATTTTGCAATGTCGTCCGGTCGCTCGTGTCCTCCAATGCGCCCAATTGGGCCAGTACCATGCCGATTGTTGTCATCGCTGGGGAGTATAATACGGGTTTAGACGTACCGAAGAGCCGCGCTCTGCTCCGAAGTCTGGCAAAAGAGGAATCGCACCTCGCGGAGAGACTTTGTGAAAGCGTACTTGGCCGACATTATGAAGCGAATTGACGTGGTTGAGTCGTTCGTTAGGTAAAAACAGTAGCGACGGAGTCGGGTCGGCCTTGAAGTGCTAAGTAATTGCTAGCTTTTGGTAGGTTCCTCGATGAGGCTCGGGTGGAATAAACCTACTACTAAGGTAGGGACTGAAAAGCGGTACAAAGGTTATGTACCTTGGGTATAATTTGCATAAAAGAGCCAATAGTGTGCGTGCATAATCCAATTATGCACAGCCTCCGGTTCCGCTGACGGCTTTTCCTCCCCCACGTATCCATGAGATAGATGCCCGTATTTCGTCCACAGTGAGAGTGAGCCCCGGACGCACGATAACTCCGGTTTCCGGGCGCCGTGCAGTAATGGACTTAGTGGATGGTGCGCTAAATCCACAGACCACAGCAGCTATCTCGGGGCTACAGTGACCGACCGACCACCCTTGCCCCAACGTCTCAAAGCTTCTTTCGCCGACGTTGAACCTCATCTTTTTGACCACAACGTCTCTCTGTTGAACCAATCTCCCCTCCACCAAGAGATCAACGTGTAAGTTGCTATTGACTGTCTGATCGCGGATTGGGATTCAATTGTGTCTTTTATACTTTTCCATGCGGTCGCCGAATGTCTCGATTTGCGCGCAAACTATCTTGACTACCCAACTTCTTGATTCCTGATACTGCATCTCATATTAATTAGTATTGATTGATATTGGCACTGACGACAGTCGCATAGCAATCATGGCCTCCCCCGCAAGCACCATCTTCCGCGCCTCGCGCCCCCTCTTCCGTCAGGCTACCCTCGCCGCGCCCGCTCGACAGGCTTTCCGTCAGCAAACATTTCGACAGAACTTCTACCAGGGCAGCGGCCGTCGATGGCAGAGCACTGATGGCGCCCAGCAGCAGCAGCAGCAGAGCTGGTTCAAGCGCATGATGGAGAGCGAGGTCGGCTTCAAGACTGTGCATTTCTGGTGAGGACAAGTCTAGAACAAGCGATTGTTGACACAGAATGCTAATATGCGTGGTTGTAGGGCTCCCGTCATGAAGGTTCGTTGACTAAATCATCCCGCGATATCTACACTACGGATCCAACTACTCTCGAAACCCCGATATAATCACAATTACTGACCTTGTTCGCCATCTATAGTGGGCTCTTGTCCTTGCCGGTATCTCCGACTTCGCTCGTCCCGCCGAGAAGCTCTCCTTCACTCAGAACCTCGCTCTGACCTGCACCGGTATCATCTGGACTCGATGGTGCCTCATCATCAAGCCCAAGAACTACCTGTACGCTTAGAACCCGCTAAATCATACACACTCAAGCTAACAGCTGTGTCTTAGCCTCGCCGCTGTCAACTTCTTCCTCGGAATGGTCGGCCTCGTCCAGATCACCCGAATTCTCAGCTACGAGTCAGCAAAGAAGAAGAGCCTGGAGGGTGTCGTTGAGGACATCAAGGCGGACGCCAAGGAGACCATCCAGGAGGCCAAGCCCTAAATGCAATCAAGCATGGGCAAGTTAGACAATTGTCGAAAAGGGTGGCCTTGAGTCCGACATATCTCACGATTTGTAATGCCACAGTCGATTACTCCTTACAGAGGGACTGCTTCCAAAGGGCGTGGGTCGCAAATGGACGCATATATTGCTTGAAAAGGAGGGTGGGTATTGCAAAGCCATTCCAGAGTCAGGGGAGCTCAGGAATAGCTTGTCACTTTTTACATGGTAGATTACCACACATATAGTCAACATGTAAAAAGGATGGGTTGGGTTCAACAAATAAACACGTACAAAAGATGGCTTATATCTCGTACTTGTCAAGATTAACCACAGTATGCCATACCAGCTATGCAACAGCCGGTGACCTTGATTGTTATTATAATCCAAATCCACTATAGATATCTCTCTAAATTGTTCTTTAGGTATCATTCATGATGGCATTCACAACACTAGCAACTTCTTATACACCAACCTATGAACGCCCTGCCACAAATATTGCCCTTCGCCATAGATAGCCCCAGCCATCCATCCAACCATTAGCTGGCTGCTGGGCCACAGAGCGTCAAGTGAGGAACTAGGCCAGTGCCGATATGTACATGTACAGACTCAAAGGAAAGATAAGCCCCCTCCCTTTCTTCTAAAGCAGCCCGTCAATTTGATTGTTCATCTCATGATCTCAAGTCATTCATATTTCAAGATATTGTGCCCACGCCGGGTGGGTACTGAGTCTCCAGAGATGCTCATCATCGTAACCATTATCAATCATTCGCTTCCTCTCATTTCTCCGTGTGTCCGTCGTTCAAAAGCATCTCCAAAACGATCTGTCGACCCGGGAGCTCCGGATGGGCCATGGCAATCTTGACGGTGCCCTTTGACCCTTCGCTACCCGCGCTTGTCGACTGCATATATCCGTTACTGTGTGACTGCGGATTCAATGTGCTTCGGCCAGTCGGTCCACGGACGCCGAGATCGAGCACGCGCACGTCTCGACCGGCGATGATTTGGCGCAGTCGTCCGTTCTCGGCGTTGCGCACCTCAACATAGTCCTCGTTGAAGAGGAGGAGATACTGTCCATACATGGTCGCACCACGGGCCTTCTTCTGTTTGCCAGTGTACTCCATGATCAGCGTGCGGCTGACATCACCGTGCTTGTCCACGTATACAGCACAGTCCTCATATGTCACGATGAATTCGTTCTCGTTCAGCCTGAACATGCCGAGCGGCTTCTGATCTCGGATGCGGCTGGCAATATTGGCAATTGCAGGCGCCTTAAGGTCAGGAATAGACATAGGTTGCTTCTTATCCAGGGTGAGCATCTCGACTCCCTTCGCTGTCGCAACTGCAATGTACGTTTGGAACAGACTGAGGGAATAGCACTCCGTTGGGAAGAAGAATTCGTCAAAGTCGCGGAATGTCTCCGCGCATCCTCCACCACCAGCCTTTCGTCCGCCAAAGAGCCGAGACTTCTTCTCGGTAGATTTCTGGAAGATAGGCTCGAGAACCTTGAATGATGTATGCAACCCTTCCTTTCGTTTGTAGAACAGGAGCATTCTGTCCTTCATCTTAGCTGTGGCAAAGTAGGTGACGTCCTTGGCAAGTCTCTGTGGTGCCCGCCGAGGGCTGTCGTTGACAGGAGCCGAGAAGTCAGATACTGGAGCGATCACATCTAAAGGATATGAAATGAGGTTCTTGTCGGCAATGAGCACGCAGACAGAAAATTCCTCAAGGACAGCAATTTGAGTGACGCGGGTTGCCTGGACCGTCTGTAGTAAAATTGTTAGCTATATCAGATTGAAGAAAAAGGGAATCACATACCCTCTGCCATCCGCGAGGATTTGACGGCTCCGAGATGTAAACTCCGTAATCAGTTCCGATCGCAATAACAGATTTGCCAAAGGCAGTGAAGCTGGTAGCGCAGTTGACCTGGGCACGGCATACAGGAGCGACGCCCTGAGCCGGTCCCAGCACGCTCTCCAGCTCGTGAATTGCCCGGTCAAGAGGAGTGCCCTTTACAGCAACACTCGAGAACCTTGCGTACATAGAGGCGGTGTCGTAGTGGAAAGCTGCATCCGCGAGAACCCGCAGCCTGAATGGCTCAGCATTTTGAGAGAAGAGTGCCTTGGCGTGCCTTGTCTTGGTTTCGATAATCATGTTGCACCAGTCGGCACGATCCTTGGCTGATGATGCATACAGAGTATAAACCTCGTGGCCAAGATGCTTGACCTTGAACGGATACAGGATCTTTCCCTCCGTGTCGTTCGAGCCGGTTGGTGTGCCAGAGGCCATAGACGAGTTTGTCGCTGCGTGCTCCAGACCAGGTCTACTAGTATTGCTACTGACCTTGTTAAGTTGAGTGCTGGAGGCGGCCGCTGCTGTAGTTCTTCCCAATGGAGCAGTGATGCCCTTTTGCTTCTGAACTGGTTCGTCGTTGATGCTCTCAGGAAACAGGAGAGGCATGGGGATGGGCTACGCCTAGTCAGATACGGTTTCGTAAGCTGTGCAGTAAATTTCACGTACCTCTTTGGAAACATCATACTTCTTGTCCTTGCCCTCCTTGGGAGTCACCGTCTTGGCCAGGATCATGTAGTGGTCGAATAACAAAGCATGTGTGTCAACCCATCTAACTCCCTTTGATCCCATTCTTTGTAGGTCACCTTGGAAGATCAACTCACGGCCAAGATGGTCGAGATTCAAAACAGAATGGAAACCAGGCCGCAGCACCAGCATTCTGTTCAGTTCCATCATTTCGACTCTCTTGTTTTGTTCCTCGACCTTGAGATCGGACTCGAGAGTGACTTGTCGGATTTCCGCGATGGCCTTGGCCAAGTTCGTCTTTTCCTCGCTGTCGGTTGGCATCTTTCTCTCGACACTGTCGAGTAGAAGGGAGTAACGCTGAAGGCGCTGAATAGGCGCGATCAAGTAATGTGTCCAATCTTGCTTCGAAGACACCTTTTGCTTCTGCATGTCGTCCAAGAATCGCTTGAAGAGAATATTGCGATCGGCCTCCCTTCGAACCTGATAGACTGCATTGGGGTAAGCCGAAGCATACTCGATATAGACTGATTTGGCCTTGCGAATCCATTCTCGGAACAGATCGCTGAAGCCAATAATCCAAGGACCCTGCTCTTGTTGTCGATACTTGAGCTGCGACAAAAGATGGTCCTTGTTGATTGCCTGGACCTGGTCAAGCTTTCCAAACACCGTATGCAAAAACTTGTCTCGCTTCTCAGGCTTCAGGACAGGGGGTTGCATGGCCCGAAGCTGATCCCTGTAATACCTGCGGAAGATATCCAACTGCTTGATGTAGTTTTCCTCACCAGTAACAATTTCGTGTAAAATGTTCTGACGCTCGACCTCCTTCTTGGGCTTTGATTCCCAGTCGGCCTTGGTAAGACCATAAAAGACGTGCCACTCGTCTGCAGGTTGAGAGTCCTGGGCGAGCTCCTCCAAGTCAACCTTCTTGATAGTACGAGTGCAGTGATGAGAGTAGCACCGGCCACCAATCTCTTCGTCGTGGA